TTTCTCAGGACTTTCTCTATTTTATTTCTTTTTGATTTTTCATTTAAACCGTTAACATTCCATGTTAGAAAAGTTAAAGACATTGCTAAAATTATATATCGGGTTTATTCAAAACTTTCAATTCCTGACTTCTTCCTGCTCTTCTGTGTTCCCCTCCTCCACCTCACCTTCCTCCTCTTCCCCCCCCCCAGCCCCCCCAGCCCCCCCTCCCCCCCCGCAGCCCCGCCCCTCCCTCCTCCTCAATTCTTCCATTTCCTGCAACCTGTCTATCTATTGCTCTATCTTCCTTTTTGCCCAGCTCCCTTTCGTATCTTCTCAAAAACTTTTCTATCTCTAATGGATTGGTCAGTTTGAATCTTTTATCCTTAAAGAAAAAAGCGATTCCTTCGGGGAATTCCCATCTAAATTGGATGTTATTCCTTCTGAGAACACCTGTTATATGTCTATATCCCTCCCTTTTGCGTAGCAGCCTAACTGGGATCTCTTTGAGTACAATTATTGGTCTACCGCCTATTATTAATTTTTTATGGTAACTCGTTTTAAGAACCAAATTCCTCATTCCTATTGAATTAAACACTACTAAGCAATCCCCAAGGGGTTTCTTAGTCCTGTTCTGGTATGTTCTTATTTTAATTCTAAAGGCGTTATCTATCGTGAATGCGACCTCCTCCTCCTTCACCTCTAGCCATTTTGCTAGTTCCTTGGTTATTTTCTCTCTAACATTCTCGTTCGTCTCTTCTTCTATGCCTCTAAATTTTAGGTGCATTTGCCTTTGCCGCATTTCTGTCATTGCAATACTGTCCCATATCTGTTCTTGTGTTTTGTTCAGCTCACGCATCTCCTCCTTCACCTTTTCTGTCTCCCTTTTCTGTTCTCTCATATCTTTTTGAATTTTTTTGTTGGTTTCCTCGAATATCTTTGTTTTGGTCGTTAATTCTTGAACTTTATTTGAGAGCTCCCCTATTGCTCCCTCAATTCTCCTATCTATCCTTTCCTGTAGTTCCTCTAGTTTATTTTCTATATGGTTTTCGTTCTGCTTAAGTTCCTCCTTAATTTTTAACCACAGAAAGTCTAAGTCTTTAATTTCTTCTTGTCTAGATACTTTTCTTTCACCTGGGGTTCCCCCTCCCCTTTTTCCATTCTTCCCCTGCATCTTATTTTTAATTGACCGCTTCAATCTTTTAAGGCTGATTCTCTCCCCTTAGGGCTCACAATCTACTTACTCCCACTCTGTGAGACCGTTCGGTCTTTCTAGGCAGTCTCACTGGCTGCACTAAATACGTAATCCTGAGGTGCCACTCTCCCGCGGTCCACTCTCGCACGGTCCTCTTCTCGTTCTTGCCTATCCGAAATGTCCTATATATACAATTAGTCCACACGTGCTCTTATTTAAGATGATCTTAGGAGGAGGTAGTGGTGATTGTACTGTTCCAATGTCTTGTCTGTATAGGGGAGGCGATTCAGGTCCACAATTTAAAGTAATTGTCCTGTCTATACACTCATTTCAACCAATTTATGGACCCTGAAGAACAGACGGATATTGGCGCGACACGTCTGTCCAAAGATAGTAGAAGTAATTTCCCAGGTCTCTGCTTAGTGCAGGCTGCTAGACGGAGGGAACTGCTGATATTAAACGGCAATATAGAGGGGGACCGCCCCGGGGAATATACCCATTTCTCCAAGGCTGGGGGAAGTGTTATAGATTATATCTTAATCTCAAGATTTGCTCACAGCTTTATAAGGAAGTTCCAAGTGGGCCATAATACTCTGAGTGATCACCTACCTCTAATTTTAGAGCTTGCAGGTCGGCCTTTTGACTATTCTATTGCCGAGCCACAATATATACCTTCTGTAAATTTGGATATACCTGCCCCCAAAAGACTCAAATGGTCCCCAATATTGAATGAAAACCTAACCCTCCTTCTTCAGTCAGTGGAGTTAAAGCTTATTCGCTCCGCTATTGTATCAGGAAATTCAGTAGCTGCGATTATGGAACGCTTTAAATTACTCTTGGAAAGATTGAAACCCCATTTAACAACAGTGATACATAGCTCCGCTACAAAGAGGGCAAAGGACGGAGCTAGCTGGTTTGACCTGGAGTGCAGGCAAACAAGGAGACAAATGAGAACAGCCTACCGGAGATACAGGAAATCAGGGACTGCCCTCCTACTTAATGCTTATATTTATCTGAGACGGTCGTACAAACAATTATTAAGGAGAAAGAAACTGGAAGCTGAAAGAGCCGCATGGCACAGGTTGGTTAAGGCATCGCACGAGAAAGATACTACTTGCTTTTGGCGAACCATATCTGGTCTACTGGACCAGGAGCGTACTAATTCCATCTGTACAGTGGAACCAATGGAGTGGTTGCGCCATTTTCAATCTTTGTTCTATGACCAGGAAGCCCAACATTACAAACTATGCATTCAACTGGAGGACCTACCTCATTGGCCAGCAGTAACTGCGAAGGAAGTTGAGAATTTAATCGCACAATTAAAGAACAACAAGGCCCCAGGGAATGATTACATCCCTGCCGAACTTCTGAAGTCCAACATTGGCTGGTGGGCCCCCCTGCTGGCGTCTTTATTTTCTTGGATCGACTCAACGGGTTTACTCCCAGATGGTTGGACTGAGGCAATAATTATCCCAATCTATAAAAAAGGACCCATGACAGATCCGGCGAGTTATAGACCAATCAGCCTTCTGCCTATACCCAGCAAACTATATGCCAAACATCTTTATACCAAGCTAACTAGCTGGCTGGAAACTGAAGCTATTCTAGCGGAAGAGCAAGCGGGTTTCAGGCAAGGCAGATCCACCATAGACCATTGCTTCACCCTAGCCTATTTAATTGACAAATATGCCAAAAAATCCCGTGGGGTGTTATATGCAGCCTTTATCGATCTAAAGGCTGCTTTCGATTCAATTCCACGTGTAAGACTCTGGGATAAATTGAGCACCTCAAGCATAGACAAAAGACTATTATTTCTGATCAGCTGTTTATACAAAGACACGGTGCTGCATGTAAGAACTTCGTTAAATGGCCATCTTATAGGACCAGTTCCTGTCAGTAAGGGGGTCAAGCAAGGTTGCATCCTGGCCCCAGTTTTATTCAACATCTACATCAATGATATGGTTAACTGTTTGTCATCTCCGGACTTCCACGCCCCCAAACTGGCTGACAAAGCAATATCAGTGCTTTTGTACGCTGACGATGCGATACTCCTATCTCGAACAAGAATAGGCTTAAATAGGCTCATAGGTGAATTCTCAGCATACTGTAGGAGAGAGCAACTTGCAATAAACTATCAGAAAACCAAAATTATGGTTTTTGCAAGGAATCACAGACAGTACAGCTGGAGGATGGATAACCAGACAATTGAACAAGTCAAAGCCTTCAAATATCTGGGTATCGTTTTCCAGTCGACCGGGTCCTGGGATGTCCATCAAAAATGTGCCAAAGAAAAAGCTGCTCAAAGCATCAAGATGCTGTCCCGCTTCTTCTACACGAAGGGGGGCAGATACATCCCAGCAGCCCTTGAAGTTTTTCAAGCAAAACCTCTGGCGCAGTTACTGTACGGGGCGCAAATCTGGACGGGGAACCACTGCTCCAGTCTTGAAACTGTCCAGTCCAAATTTCTAAGGCAGATACTCGGCGTCCCCTCCTGTGTTCCAAACGCAGCATTACGACTCGAGGCCTGCCTTCCATCTGTGGAAACTCGGACCTGGCAGAGAACATTTAATTATTGGCTTCGTCTTAATCTGAATCCACCTGGTCTACTGCCGCTAGTAATGCAAGACCCTCACAAAAGCAAGTGGTTTAAAACTGTGCATCAAAAACTCCTTACATGCGGTCTGCACTCACAGTCCCTACTATCAATGGGCCTCATTAAAGCAAAGAGTCTAATAGGCCAGCGCCTGAAAGACATTGAACGACAAAACAACCTGACTATCTTAAAGAAACTGTGCCCATGGTATACCTACTTTCCCCCTTCTCATTTTGACTCTCCAGCTTCATATTTGTCTAAACTAACCATCCCAAAATACAGACGTGCCTTTACATTGGCTAGATGGGATGTTCTTCCCTCTGCTGTACTCGAAGGTCGTTACCAAAAGACTCCATTTGAAAAACGACTCTGCCCATGTGGAGATGGTAACACGGAAACAGTGTCCCACGTCCTTCTTTCTTGCCCCCTTTACAAAGACCTAAGGAATGAGATTATTACCCCACTCATTCTCTCCAACCCCGGCCGTTCACCAGACATTACACTGTATTTTCTATTATCTGATACGGATAGTCAGATAACAGAGAAGGTCGCGAGGTACATCGAGAGAGCTGCGAAATTGAGGGCCACCATCTGAGTGACAGACCTGTTCACCCGACGGACCTCCTTTTGCCTGTTCTTTTCTTCCTTTTATCCCTATTTTCACTTTTAACTCTTGTACAGCTGTGGCCTGTTGGCTTTGCTAATAAAGTTTTGATTTGATTTGATACCTGGGAAGCCACGGTTGCTGCTTGCTTCGAAAACCCACCCTAGCCAATATTGACTTTTATGCTGTATGTATTGTTTTTAACACTTGATTGGAAGCCGCCCAGAGTGGCTGGGAAAACTCAGCCAGATGGGCGGGGTATAAATAAATTATTATTATTATTATTATTATTATTATTATTATTATGGCGCAGGCGGGGTGAAATGGGCAACACCGAGGCTGCATTCACGTTTCCTTTGGCACAACGTCCAGCCCCTTTTCAGTTAAAGCGCGGAGGATTCAACTCGCTGCCTTTCCCAAGACTTAAAGCGAGGTCGACATCTGGGGTGGTGGGAAGTGTCCGGAAACAGGCGATGAAAGCGTTGGGCGCGAGGCAAAAGGGCGAGCGCTGTCACGTGGCCCTCCTCAAGCGCACGCGCGCGCGCTTGTTCGTTGATATGCCCGTCTCCGGGGGCGGGGCGGGGGTTTGGACCGCTGCTCTCCTTTCTTCCGATGGGTGGCGCGCAACCCGGAGGCCTGCGCTATCCCAGGGTGCTGTTCGCGGCGTGGGCGCCGCCGTCCCGCTGAGGGGGAGACAGTCTGCGCGGCTGCCTCGCCAACGAGACGCGCTGCGGGCTGCCGCCAAACGGACATGTTAGCGCCGAGGCCCTGAAGGCGGGAGGCCGACGAGAACCACGTCCCGCCGCTTCCTTCGGGGCTCCTCCGCGCGCGGTAGCAAGAGGCCGCCGAGCCACAGCCATGGAGGCTGTGAACGCCTTCAACCAAGAGGTGGGGACGGGGCCCGGCAAGGGAGCGCGGGACGGGTAGGCCCCGGCTGTTGGTGGTGGGGGGTTGGGAGCGGCTGGCGACCGCTGATACCGCTCTGGAGCCTGGGACTGGAGGCCGGAGTTCGCAGGCCTGGTCTGAGGCGGAGCAGCCGACGGGGACGAGTTGCCAGCGCCCTTCGGTGTGCGGCGGCCTCTCCTGGGCCCGGCGTGTGGGCGGCGGCGTTGCGTCGGGTGACGCGGGGCTTCAGGGGCCGCTTTCCCCTCAGCCCCCTTCCCCGCACACGCGACTTCCCTCAAGCTCGAAGGGGGCCTAAGAACTTTCGCCTCACTTCCGAGGCCCTCTATCCCGGGCCCGGCTGCTGGGGAAACCCGGCCGGGCTGTTTAAGGTCAGCCCTGTAGGCCAAGGGAGAGGCCGGGAATGGAAGTAATGCGCGCGTGCCGGGTAGCGCTTCGCTGTAGGTGGGGAGGAAGGGGGCCTAAGTATCTTGTGCGTGTGTGTGTGTCTGTGGGCGAGCGCGCACTTCGAGGCAGATCGCGGTGCGGGGTGGCGGCGGAGTGAAGAGGAAGTTTCTGGCCTTTTTCTTGCAGCCATTTGATGATGAAGATCCGGGACGTGCGAAGAGATTAGGCGTCTCGAGGGCATGTTATTTGCAGCCCTATTACGCGACCCATCAAAAAGTTTTGTATTTAAAGTTACCATCCCAACTGTTTCTGTGATACTGTGCGAACCCCTTGCGTTGCAGAATCTAGCGATGAATAAAAGCTATCCCACTGATTATATCTTAGATAATGTACACGGTTTTCAAATTATCGTGCATATGGCGCGAGTGTGAATAGAAAATCCGGAAGATTTCCCCCTTCTTTTCAGGACTGGTTGTGGTGGGCAGGAAAAGTGAGGGAATTGATCTCAAGGAGCAGAGAGTTCCTAGCCAACATCAGAAACTGGCTTTTTAAAGGTAACATTGGGCATATTCTCACAACAGAATGCCAGAAGAATTCCGAGCTGAAGTGTCTGGTGAATCGCATTGAAACTGAATGGCTCCTTCTAGTGTTTTAGTGTATTAACAGTTGACATTCATAAAAGTCTGTTTCAGCGGACTAACATTGCTACTTCTCTAAAAGGTTTCTGTGTACTGCTATGGTATTCTGGAAAATGGATACAAGTGTTATTAAACTACATAAAGATTGCAGCAAATTTACAACTTAATGTGATTTCTGCTGCAGATAACCAGATAAAGTGTGCATAAATGCAGGTTTACATGGACATAAAGTAGACTTTAATGTTTAAATCACTGTATATGCTTTTTGAACAGAAAACTCTGTAAAGTTTGCTCCCTGTAAATGCTTTTATATTTGGGCATATCGGTGGCCTTCCAGTTAAACATCCAGTTATGAAACTTAATGTTCAGAACTGAAAGAGTACATTAAGCTTCATAATATTGCCCTTCATTTAAGCACAGCATTATGACAGCCATACACACCTCTGGTTGTCTTTCTTTGGGTCCTACGCAACCCAATACAAAATATCAAAACAGCTATGCATAAGTGGCAGGTTCAGTTTGCCACCTGGGGCTTGTCCAGTACTACTAATTTGTCTTAACACGGACCTATAAATGCTCAGTTGCATGAAAAGTATTTTGGGTAACTTTAGTAGAACTTGTAGTGCATGTGCTGGGTGTGTATGGGATGTGTTCAATTAACAAATGGATTCTTTTCAGTATTGTATGTAAAACTTTATAAATGCTATCATCATCAACTTTAGAAAAAGCATTACAGTTTGTGTAAGATTTCCATAAAGAGAATGAACAGTTGCTTAATTGCTTGGGGTAGTAAGTATTATTTCAGAGTGTTTTCTAAGATTACTGTGTGTGAGCTCCTGAGATGAAGTACAGTGGTACCTCGGGTTAAGTACTTAATTCGTTCCGGAGGTCTGTTCTTAACCTGAAACTGTTCTTAACCTGAAGCACCACTTTAGCTAATGGGGCCTCCTGCTGCTGCTGTGCTGCTGCTGCACAATTTCTGTTCTCATCCTGAAGCAAAGTTCTTAACCTGAGGCAATATTCCGGAGTCTGTAACCTGAAGCGTATTTACCCCTAGGTACCACTGTACTCAAAATGTTCAGCTAAGTGTTAGAATAGCTACTGCATCTTCATGCATTGTGTTATGGCAGAAAGCCAGGAAGTGGCTAGGCTGACCTCTTTGCTTCACCTTGGTAGAGATCATAGTACAGGTGTGTGGCTGCTGTCTTCAGAGTTCTCTGTACTGCTCTGATATTCTGTGTTTAGATATAAATGGAAGAATGAGACCTGTGGAGCATCATTGTAGTACAAATGCACTGAAGAAAAAGAGAGACAAGAAAAATGCAAGCCATCGTGGCATTTTACATGCCCACATTTGAACGTATATTGTGTAGGCTTTATCTTTCAGAGAAATAGTAAAATGATTGTTTCTTAAGTCCAGAATAAATAGTGATGCTTGGTAACTTATTCTTAGACCTAAATCCTACTGGTTTGAGTGGAGTATAATTCTAATTGTGCCTTGGATTGCAACCGTAGAAACTTTATGGAAAACTCCTTTCTGTCAAGGGTTGCCGTATCCAGAATATTGGAGCCGCAAGCAGTGTCTGGGTGGAAATCGGCTAAATGTCCAGGGAAATCTGGACGTATGGTAGCTGATGTTGGCAGTGTTGTTTTTGCCGAGTTTCCTCAGGAAAGCTCAAAAATGTCTAATTTTGGGGGGCAAAACTAGAAAAAGAAAAAGCTCAACTTTACTGTGTAGATTTTCACTTTTTGAACATTTTTATAGCTTGTTTACATTTTAGGTCTGTGGCCCAGATGCCATAATCACATATTTTGTGTTGTCATAAAGGGTTGTCTTAAACCCTGAGAAATAAGGTATAAATTGAAAATAAAATGGAGCAGTAATGGGCTTAAAATTTCAAATAATTCAGAGTACATACATATTCTAGCATCTGTTGTGGATTTGTGTTCTCTTTTCCATAAAGTGAAATTTATTTACATATTGTGGGATTCTAAAGTTGGAGGACACCCAGTGATTCAAGTGCTTGAACCCCTACTCATTTCTAGATGTTGCTGTCCTACAACTCCCATCATTCCTGAACATAGTTAGGGTCTGATGGCTGGGCCTGATTAGAGCTGTAGTCTAAAACATTTGGAGGACACCAGAAATCTTCATTGATAGTATCCCCTCCAATACAGTGTATTCAGCTTTTGACATCTAGACACTATATTCCTCTTGGGCAGGGGTCAGCAACCTTTTCCAGTCGTGGGCCAGCCCACTGTCCCTCAGACCATGTGGTGAGCCGGGCTATATTTTTTTTTGGGGGGATGAACGAGTTCCTATGCCCCACAAATAACCCAGAGATGCATTCTAAATAAAAGGACACATTCTACTGTAAAAACACGCTGATTCCCGGACTGTCCGCAGGCCGGATTGAGAAGGCAATTGGGCTGCATCCGGCCCATGGGCCTTAGGTTGCCTACCCCTGCTCTTGGGGTAACAGAAATAGAATTAGGTGATAGTTTACTTGAAATCTGGATGCTTCTGGGGATGCTCGTATCTAACACACAATAGTAACAGAACAGTGGGTATTCCAGTGGTGATATCTGAAGGTACAGTGCTGCCTCGCAAGACGAAATTAATTCGTTCCGCAAGTTTTTTCTTCTTGCGAGTTTTTCGTCTTGCGAAGCACGGTTTCCCATAGGAATGCATTGAAAATCAATTAATGCGTTCCTAGGGAAACTGCTTGCCAGGCTGGCGGTGCGGAGAAGGGCTTTTCTCCCCACCGCAAGCCTTCAGGACAGGTACGGGAACAGAGGGGAAGGCGCGCAGCGCTTTCCCTCTGTTCCCGGGGCTTGCGTGGGAGGAGGGTTTTTCCTCCCCACCGCCAACATTCAGAACAGCATTCTGAATGTTGGCGGTGGGAAGGAAAACCCTCCTCCCACCCCAAGTCTTCAGGAAAGCCATCCGAAGCCGGGCGGCGGGAGAAGGTGTCCCCGCCCCCCGCCCGGCTTCGGAGCATCGTTCCGAAGCCGGGCGGCGGGAGGAGGTCCGAGGACAGTGGGGAAGACGCGCTGCGCTTCCCCGCTGTCCCGGAGATTTCCCTATGGGCTTTCGTCTTGCGAAGCAAGCCCATAGGGAAATTCGTTTTGTGAAGCGCCTCCAAAACGGAAAACCCTTTCGTCTAGCAGGTTTTCCGTCTTGCGAGGCGTTCGTCTTGCGGGGTACCACTGTATTGGTTTTGGATACTTCCCGCTGACAGCAGTCAATATAAGGTGCTGTAATATCTGTTGTATTATATATAGTGCTTTTTGTTAATACCATAGATAACATTTTTGTGCTGGGGATAAATATAGTTAGGATATGGTTGGCAATTAGTTATTAGATAAATTAACACAAATGGTGTAGCACTTGTGGTATTGCAAGGTGGGGAAGGCAAAACCTATTTCCTAATTGCAACCTCTTCCTATATTTGCTATATTGTGTTTGTGGGGGTACTAGTTTGTTTTGTTATTGTTTTTATTATGTATTTTGTGGTTTTATTCTGTGAACTATCTGAGATCTTCAGATGAAGGGTGGTATACACATTTAATAAATAAAATACAAATAAATATTTAAAACATTTTCTGTTTCTTTCCTTATGCAATTAAAAAAACAATAGTTTTATCATTTGGAAGCTGATAGCAGCCTATTTACACTTGCCTTCCATCTTATTTTCCCTAGAATGAAGATCCGTCATTCTGTTTGTTAGGATTTGTTCTTTTAGCTCTATTTAACACTAGCTCTCTGTTTCATCTAAATCAGAAGAGGTGGCTGAGGTGTTAGACCAGTGCTTGGAGGCAGTAATGGGTTGGACATGGGCTATTAAACTGAGACTGAATCCTGAAAATAGTAAGGTGTTATGTGCCCCAGGTTCTTTTGTCTAAGAGGTGGGGAAGTGGCTTCCCCTGGAAGGAACAGATTTAACAGTTCTGGAGTGC